TATGGAGTTGGGTTGCAGTTTTATTAGCTTATTGTATCTTCAATTATAATGAAGTTTACAGTTGAGGCTTATTTTTTTGGCAATGTTGAGGCTATTCTTTTTGGCAATGTTGAGGCTATTCTTTTTGGCAATGTTGAGGCTTATTTTTAAATTTTTTTATTGCAAAATGCTAATACTCCGTATTAAATGACTATGAACATGAGAACTTCTAAATATACAAATAACTATGACACGTTCACTAGCTCTAGACCAGTTGAATAATAAATCACCCCGTAAGAGCAATATGATCCGCTAATCACATCACATGCAATTGTAAGCTAATAGTAATTGATCTAGTTTCTTTACCACCAACCTTGGCATGGACCTTCGAATGGACCCGGACCCTAGCTCCTAACAGAAAAACACAAACAAATCTTAGATATTTTGTTTATTATCTAAGATTAAAATCAGTATTTGGTTTAAGTTCTTTAAAACATGAAGAGACATTAAAGAAATACTCTATAATTGACAAAATATAATCTAATGAAATAAAGACGACAATTAAAGTATTCATCTTGATACGGATAATAAAAATTTGTAAAGAAGGTACAATTGTTAACTTTGATAGAGTTTCAATCTCTTTGGATAAAAAGTAAAAAAAAAAACAATTAAAGAGTTGGTGAATGGTGATTATTGGACATATATTAACTCTATATATAAGCCTTACTAAAGAAGTTGCGTATTATATTCTTCCCATTCTTTTATGACCCTATATATTTCCCATTCTAACTTTTCACGGTTTTATTATATATGGATTGTGGTGATTTTTTAATTCATGAACATTTAAATTTATATACTTTTTATGAATGGATAAATTTATATGCATTTTAGATTTAATTTGAGGGGTAATTTGAATTTGCTTCCAATTTTATTGTCGAAATTGGACTTTGCACTCCGTTTTAAAAAAACTTTGTTTTGCACCCCAACCTGGTATGAAAAGACAAAAATGTCCCTCGATCAAGAATATGTTGAAGACCAATAGAATTGTTAATGGAGGGCATCTTTGTCTCTTCATACGAGATTGGGGTGCAGAAATAAAGTCTTTTAAAAATGGGGTGCAAAGTTCAATTTGGACAATAAAATGGGATGCAAAATCAAATTACCCCTAAATTTAATCCATCGACTTTTAAATTCAGACCGCCGTCACCGGAAACCGGAATTTTATTTGCATAAATCCTTGAATTCTATTGTTTTCTTTTCATTTTTATCTTATTGAAATTTGTTTACTTATTTATGGTTAAATATATGTGTGTTTGAAATTATATTTTTATGTGTTAGTAGTTTAACGGTGAAACATAGTAATGATTAAATATATTTTTATGTTGTAATGGTTAATTGACAACATACCAGAGTTACACTGATATGATACTTTCGATTCTTATATCGATTCTTAATTTTCTTTCAAGAACTGAACTGTTCCCACCCCTACATTTTTCTTCATAAGATGATATACAAAAAATCACTTTTTAAATTTTTTTTAATCTATCTTTTGTATCGGTATTGATGTAAAATCTCTTTAATCAATTTATTTATTGTAAAGTGATGAAATATTAGAATTTACTTTTCAAATCTTTCATATATATCATGCTAAGACCACCTGATATCCACCTCCCAACCTCGTACTAGTCCAGGACCGATTAACTGGTTTTTAATATCGGGCAAATTGTGACGAGTAGAATATAAAAGAAAAAGTCTATGAAAATCTTTTGTGAAAAGAAGAGACAATTGTAGAAAATTAATGTATTAAATTTAAGAATGAGTTAAATGTCCACGAAAATTAGTGGTTTTAAAAGTCTATAAAAGTGAATGAAAGTTGGAATGCATCTAGAGTTTTACAATTCCGCATTCAATTCCTAGACCTTTTAGATATTTAAAAGTATATACTCCGTATTGAAAATAAAAAGGACAACATATAAGTTCATGTACTGTTTCAAGAAAGTCAATTGCATGTAAGTGTTTGGTCAATAAATTATGTGTACAAAATCTCATATTTTTATCATTTTTCATGAGTTGTGTTTGGTGTACACTTTTTTGTGTACAGCTTTCGTACACTCGCTGTCTCACACACATAGAGTTGTACACTCTCTATGTGTGTGAGACAGCGAGTGTACAAAATGTGTACACCAAAAAGTGTACACCAAGCATATTTCATTTTTCATTTAACCGGTGAACCATTTGTGTGTCGCTCACATGGATGATATCATGCCATTCGGATTTTTTAATACTATTTTCTTTCCTTTTTTCCTTTTCTTTTCCCTTTCTTTTCCCTTTTCCCTTTTCCCTTTTCCCATTTCTGTCTTGAAACTTGAAAGGATTTGAACCTGATTGTTCAAGTAACCCTTGTGTCACGCTTCCTCAATGGCAAGCTAACGACAATGAAGAAAGTGACTATGGCGGCAAAGCTCGACCATGATGGTGTGGCAGAGGTCTGCGGTGACTGCGGTTGCGGAGCTCGTCACACATGGGGCAGCAAAGCTGCCATAGACGGCAGGGGCAGAACTCAGTGGCGGCAGAAAGATGAAACGACAGAATGAAAAATGAGGCAAAGAAATTTTTTGAAAAAAAACAGAGAGAAGGCAAATCTAATGTCACGTGGACGACCAAATCAACGCTTACAGGGAAAAGTTGCGTGAATAATCCATAATCCATATAGGCCGATTAACATGGAAATGCGTCACATATCAGAGAAAAGGTAAATTCGGTCATTTTTCGCACACTTGGTAGACTTAATTGATTAATGAAACAATACGTGAACTTATTTGTCAGTTTCCCAAAATGAAGTTTTCTGATTAAGATTTATTTAAAATCAGAATGAATAATATAAAAAAAATTGAAATTATGACTGTATTTAATTGGACTTGTTTCATTCTCAAACCAAAACAAACAAAATCGAATTAAATCAGACGATACTAGATTAGACTAGACGAGACATCGATAATTACAAAGTACATATAAAAGTACATATAAAACACACATTTACCAAATTAAATTATACATAAATAAATCAGATCAAAGCAAACCAATACATACAATCTAATTAAAAATATGTTTACTTTTGAGACAACAGAAAAGTAAAACTAACTAAATTCATATATTTAGGGATAGAGGAAGTAAAAATTGTGTTACCCGAAGTCCCGAACAAAAAAGTCTTGCTCCGTACGTTTTGTTCTTGTGAATATTGTGTTGCACTCATAATAAGTGACTTTTTTCCCGACTTAATGTTAATTAAATAAATAATTTCCAAAATACTATTAGGTTAAAAATAATTCCCAAAATATTGCCGGTTTAACCGTGGTTAAGGAAAGCCGGCACTTGAAGTGGTGGCTCTTCTCTTACAGTACAATTCTTACCGTAGTTAGATAAATTTTTAAAAATCGTATAATTATTTAGGTCTAAAAATGCATTTTTTTCAATAAATTATTTAAGTAACTTCTTGATTCAAATTTAATCTAAAATTCGGTGAGCATCACCTACACTTAAGGAAGAACACGATCACCAAATTTTATCAAAAAATTTGACTCAGAAGCAACTCAAATTTCATAAAAATGTCACATTCCTGTCGCGACGTCCTGACCGGAACCCTTGTGCGGACAACACCATCAGAGGGTTTTCCCGCTGATTTTTTTAATGAATTTTTTTGAGCATGTTCCTCATCAAGTCTAGTTTATTCATACCAAATTTCAGCTCAAAATTCAATCGGGAAGATAGTTAAAAACATTGTTGAAACATACTGCATTTTATATATGTACAAAATGTGCTGTAAGAGTAGAGCCGTCACTTCAAGTGGCGGCTTTCCTTAACCACGGTTAACTCGGCAGTATTTTGGGAATTATTTTTTACCCAGCAGTATTTTGGGAATTATTTATTTAATTAGCATTATTTCGATTTTTAGCTCTTGATATTAAGAAAATCTCTTAATATTTCCATAACTTTAGTTTCATTTCATTAGTATTTTAAGAAAATCTCTTAATATTATCAGTTTTTAGCTCTTGATCTTGTCCAAAACTAAAATATTACTTCTCCATCTCAAATTTATTTGTACTTTATGATTTTTAAAGGTGACTAGTCATTAGTGATAAAAATTAAATCCTCTCAAAGATAGTTAAATCAAATTTAATACTTAAAATTTACATTTTCAAACATTACAATGAATGCTCTACAAAAACACAACATCCAAATTAGAATATACTACTACGTACAATCTGGTATCGTAATCACCTAAATGAAAAAAAAAAGATGACACCTCATACCTGAGAACGCCCCAACACCGACCTGACGGCATGACGGGAGTAATCACCTAAATGAAACTACACTATATTGAATTAAGGAAAAAAACTTTACAAATCATTTTGAGATAGATGGAGACAGAAGTTTAAATACAGAAATAAAGTTCAATTAGAATTAATGCTTGAAATTACAAATTACGGAGTAATGAGATTGTGCTATGATGATCGATGATATTGTTACACTTTCACAGTTTCAGTCATATCCTTCATGAGGAGGTTTGAACAAAGGAAAGGTTTTGTTCCTTCCACTTCTCTAAAATTAGTACGTATAACGTATCAGATGTTCTCACGCCGTCCACATATAGAAATATTATGACACCATTGCTTTCAGAAATAATTTTTTTAGCCCATATACAACATGGAAAGCAAGAAACTCCGGAGTATTTGTAGGAAGTAGGAACCATCACTGGGAATTTACGTGTTCTTTGTTTTAGAAAAAAACTAGAGGCTACGTAACACAGAAACTCTCGAGAAAGAGTACGTTTTTGTTTCAGAAACTCTACGGAAACTATTTGGAAACTCGCCAAACAAGCTTTTTTAAGTAAAAGTTGACATTTCATGTTTCCAGTTTCCTCACGATTTTCGCGTTTCCGTGCAACATAGACTAGAGGTCACAAAAGTGCTTTGAGTACACAACCTCCTAGTTGTCTACACAATCAGATTGTTCAGAAAAAATCGGCTATTGTCTATGCATACAAGCTAGAATCTTCAAAAGAGTACACCAAGAATGTCCTTTTGATTCTCTAATTGGTGTTAGGCAATCTATTCAAAGTTAAGCGTCCACAATTCATTCCATTAGGAGTTTAGGACATTAGGTGCAACCTCGACACTAACACAGTAAGTGTCCATTTTTAAAGTAAGAAATGAACCAAACAAAGTAAACATAATGCTTAAGTTTACATAAACAATAATAAACATTACCCTATCGACCAACATAGGACACACAACTAGTCTATATACTTCTAATTTGGTAAGTCATCGTGTCATAGTGAAAAAAATTCCTCTCGTCTTGTACATTCCACTAAAAAGTAATGGTAGAACTTTGCAAAAATTTATAAAGGACAGAGGTAAATGTGGAGACTTATGATTTAGAACCCATTTTGTAATACTGAAATCGGCCGAATCGGTTGATTTTGATGAAATTTATAAACTTCTAGCTGAAGTGGTTATATTGACTGATTCTACTGATTTATGACAAAAATATTTAAAATATATTTTATTAATAATATAAAGAAAAAATTATATGGAAAAATAACTAAAAATCTACGATAACTTCACCAATACAACCCGAAAATTCTTTTTTCTTATTATTACACAAAAAACAGAAGCACCAAACATCAAATATTTGCGTACTATAACTTTTTTGCCATTACACAAAAACATTGTCTTCATAAGTTTGTTTGGTACTGGCCCTATGTTCCCTTTGACCAAGTAGAATTCTCGGCTTTGGGGTAATGGCAAAATATCAGTTTATGAATGTAGGACCCCATAGATCTACAAATCAACTGACATATTGATACTTGATTTGGAAAAACAAATTGACACATTCTGTAATAACTCTAGATTCACCATACCGATCTTCTATATCACTAACGCTAAGGGTTGGTTTGAAACTGCTTTTAAAAAAGCACTTCTCAGCTTTTGGCTTTAAAAAGCACTTATTTTTCCAAACACTACAACTTTTATTTTTCTCAGCTTCCGCGTCAAAAGTGCTTTTACTTTTTCTATTACACAAAAAGCACTTATTTTACCAAACACTACCCACTTTTACTTTCCAAAATCACTTTTTTCTCAAACACTATCAACTTTTATTTAATCACTCCTCCTCATTTCATAAAAAAAGCACTTTTTTAAAAGCAGAAGCTATTGCAAGAAAACAGACCCTAAAGCCACCCCATTTTGTACCTCATTTTCTACCCCTCCTATGTTTGTGGTTCACAAAAGCAATGAGTAAAAATGGAGCAATTATTTTAATTGGGTTGGATTTTTGTGAGCCACAAATATAGGATGAAGTACAAAATGGGGTAGAAAATGTGGTACCTCTAGCATTTCTCATTTTATATATACCATACTCCCTATTTCACTTCCCATTCAACACAAAAATTTCAAGACAACCTTTCATACTAAAAACTTGGCATTCAAAGGTGATACCAGAGAAGGGGATGCTTTATTAACATCTACAAGTTCAAATTTTCCAACTGCCAACTAGAAACAGATGGCCAAATCTACAAAATTGTCACAGCCCTACCTTTAAAAAAATGTCAATACAATAAATCAATAAAGCCACAAACAAGATGATCATCAACCGACTAGGAAAAGAACTTATGTTTTTTCTTCTTGGATGTATACTTTAAACCCATATTTTAATCTTTACCGACCTCTTTATGCAATCAATAAAAAAATCTGTACTATGTCGCTGCACCCCCTTTGATTCTACCTTACAGCTCTGGCTTGATCTCCAATATGTCATAGTGACCATAACCATGAAACAAAACAGTGATGGAATTTTCTCCATCCTTGGCATATTCTTCACCATAGTTTGAAATGTTTATCAACTTCTCCGAGATTCTATCTACCATGAAAACGGAAATTGGTGTCCTACAAGCATCCAGTCAAAACAAGATTATCATTAGTTTGCAATGTAAAATAACCTACACATTATGTAATTATGTTCCCTCATCCTTTACCATTACATGAATGCACAACTAATTCAAGACACAAACAATTAAAAAGATAAAGGTTTTTTCATAGTATTATATTACTGTACTAAATTAGAAATTAAGAGCAAAATATTAGCACATGATAACCACAGACAATGTAAAACAAAACACATACTGTATATCATTCTGCATAATATATCATATTTTTTGTCTATTACTTAAGTTAGTCATATTTTTATCTATTACGGAGTACTTAACTTAGTAATCTCTTTTCTTTATTTTGAAAATTAAAAACAGTTGTTTGAAAAATAAAAACAGTTGTCAAGTGCGATAATCAAATGTCTACTTGCGATAGATGATTTCTTGTTGTTAAAGCCCCTTATTTAAAATCCAGAATGTGAAGGGTTGTGCTTAGTGTGATAATTAAGCTTCTATACTTTCACTCCAGATCTTCATAGAATATTAAATCTAAGTCCTTCAATCATTATTTCATTTCTATTGAAGGGAGCATTATATATGGTAAATAGCAATAAGTGAAAATACATGCCAGATCAAAACTAATTTGATGAGCTTCAAGGTGTTTCAACACCTGTTAGATATGAATTGATGCATTTATTTTAACAATAATCAAACTAGTGCTACAGAAGTGGGAAAACATATGAAAAGTTGAAAACTGAAAACGGGAAAAGGAATAAACTTACTTGAGGACATGAGAAGCCATCCGCAGCTCTGGTTCACCACCCCATGCATATGGCTTCTCAATTGTTTTAACATATGCATCAAAGTCTCCTTCTATGAAGCTAACAATGAAAAATACAATGCATAATTATGAAAAAAGATCCCTTTATAGCAAATCTAATCTACAGTCGTAAATAAGCTTGCAAACTTATAGCCTGTTCAGAAAGAGTAAATTTGGCTAGAATGGAAGAGTTTGTAGCAAAACGGATGAAATTGTTGAACTGTCAAAACAATCTAAGTTACACTACATTTTCTTAATAAAAATGAAATAAATGTTGAATTGATGTTTTCATGCATTTTCCTAACTTTGGGTAAGGACTACTGTTTAAATTGTCAACCAAGATAGTGTTGTTAGGTAATAATTAGCTAAAAGCATAAATATGGGGTCTGTCAACAGGACATTGACTAAAATACCATTCAGCTTCTTCGCGTCTTTGCAGCAGCTCATTAACAACCTGCAGAAATTCCTTCATCAACACTAGTAATTATATGAATAAATAAAAGATGAAGTTTCATTCAAAAAATTGGGTAATATAGCTTATGACATACATTAGCTCTTAATTCATCAGCCAAATCCCTCTGTCGATTCTCGTCAGGAGCTTCCTCCCCATTCCTTAAGCAAGCCAAATGTGCTATGGCTCTGAATAAGCATCTACCATCTGCTGGAACTCCTGCAATGTTTACACCCTAATTTCAATTAGTGCTGTTTTAATTTTTAAAAAGGAAATTGTTAAACATAACTCTGAGGGATCATGTTTAAGTATTACAGATAGATATACTACTCCGTATTATATGTCATTTCCAAATATCATTCAATTATTGAAAGATTAAAGAGGTGATGAGTTATCTGTTTTTGGAATGTTATGAAGAATATGCTTTGATGTTTTAGCTAATTAATAAAAAGTAGAAAAGAAAACTCTGTAATGCATAACCAAATCCCTAACAACTGTGATTAGCCTGAATATTAAATAAAACCAATGTTAAAAAAAAATGTAAATATGGTTGGTGGTGTTTATAGACCTGTGACTGTGTAATTGGAAGGAGTGTGGGCGGATGAATCGGAGTTCAGGACACCGACTTGGCCTTCTGGAGAAATGGTGGCCTCGGAATTAGCCTCGGGAAGATCGAGAAAGGGCGGAGGCGCCGCTAAGCAGGGGCAGACGCCAAAGAGGAGCCAGGCGGAGTTGGGATTCTGCAGCCACCGCGCCGGCCTCGCATCCCACGCCGCATTCCACGAACCTTCGCCTCCCTTCTTCGTCAGCTCACAGTTGTGACGGTGAAAAACCGCGGACCTACTCGAGATACTCTTCCGGCCGCGGCGAGCAGGCAGAATCGCGTGCCAAATGGACGCGGCGCCGCCCTGCCTAGCATTGACGCTGCTGAATCGGCAAGCGGTGGAGTGGTGAAACCGCCGATGATCATCGCCGTTGACGAGAACTGACCGGATTGGACTGCCGGCAAGCCGATTATGCACCGCCGTCGATCCATGAGCATGGAACAACGAGAGCGCCGCCAAAATCCATGGCTTGGGACGTGCACAGAGTACGCCAAGCATCACCGACCGACCGAGGCTGAGAGTAAAACAAAGATTTCAAATCCAGGTGACCATGGTAGAACCCTATAGAAGGCAAGAACGGGGATTTAAAGGAGCTCCAGAAATGGCATTTGAGAGAAGAAACGATTGAATGAAAAAAATATAGAGAAGTTGAAAGCCGGCGGCTGCGTGGATTGAGTTACACCGCACCAATAATGAACAACTCATGCGAGCAGTATCAATGTGGACATTATGTGGCATATTCGTCACTTTAATAAACTTTTAAATGTAAAAAAAAACTCTAAATAATAGTAGTACAAATTATTTCTAATCAGTCTTTTTTAAAACAAGAAAGATTATAATTTATATTATATTGAAATAAAAGTTCATCTCACCAACACCCACCTACTAACTCTCCCCAAGCCAACAAATTATTTCTAATCAATGTTAACAGACGGTTTTTAGATATCAATTTCTAGTAATATTAACTATATAAATGGAAATCAAAATAGATATAAGATCATTAGTGCTTGGTGTACACCTTTTGAACTACACTCTATTTACTACTCCCTCCGTCCCAAAATGGTTGGCCAATGTTGACTTGCACGTGGATTAATAAAGTAAAAACTGTGTGGTTAAAATTTGTGCAGATGAGAGATAATTAACTTTAGCCACATATTCCTTACTTTAAATGGAAATGGTCAACCTTTTTTAGATGGCCAAAAAAGGAAATTTGGCCAACCATTTTAGGACGGAGGGAGTAGTTTTTTACCCGGGCGTTGCCCCGGGCAGATGTTGAGGATGTTTGTCTACTTTGTAAGATATAGATTTTATACAATATGTAAATAAGGATATGATAAGGCAATGCATCCATTTGAGCGCTATTAAGATATTCAACAATGTACATATCAACACGGAAGGTGATACCGGTGTGCGAAAGAATAATATTAATTGAATTAAGATATGTAACTCCTATTCAAGCTATCAACAATAGCATGTAGTTACTTATTTCAATAATAACGTATAATGTGGACGCAAGCTATGATTACTCTTTTTTTAACCAAGTAGGCAACCCACCAAAATCAATGAGATAAATGTCGGGGAACATTTATCAGATTTTATTAATAAAAAGAGAGTACAGAAGGAGAGGGGGACATAACCGAGACCTCTCCAGTGAAGGAATGCCTTCACAAAATACATGCTTACTCTTTCTTAAAGATACATGTGCTGGTTCGCTTAGTATATCACAAAATTCATGATATGTGCTTTCAATAATAACTATGGTATGATTATCTTTTACCTTAAAAAATAAATCACGCATGATCTCCACTTCTAAAAAATAATCATCAATTTTCTACTCTAATGTCATCAACTCTTACCTTAACAGCCCACATAGCAAACTCTTTGGTTTTTGTTGGCTAGAGTCATTGTGATATATCGTTAGTCTCATGATATTCTTTGTGAGAAAAAAGAACTGAATAGCGTTCTCAAAGTGTGAAGATTTAACCGCCACTATAACCACATCGGTTCTCCCTAACTCTTTTCAAGACAATACAAACTCTCTGTTTAAAGTCTTCCCACGAACAACAATCTTTTTTTTGAATAACATGTGTTCATTTTCTATATATCACAATTGCATGATGTCTCTCGGTGTAAGGTCTAAAACCTTAAAACCAAGCTTGTGAATCATTATAGCTTCATCCCATATAATCAAAGATGCGCCAAGCAACAATTTTGCCTTCACACTCCATTAGCTTGATGAATATTGCAGATAGATTGTGTGACAATATTTATGAGAATATAATATCAAATGATGGGTTAAAATTTGCTTTAAAAGTAGAAGATGTAGATGGAGTTTATTTAACATATATGACCAATAATTACTTGCAATGTGCATTTTCTACAAACTTTTAGACCTCAACATGTCTTCTGATTCCATTTATTCTTACTTTATCAATAATTAATATCAACTTTTCTTAATCCACTTTTCTTAATAATTGTGCGACAACCTTCCGCTCAATATTAGTGGGACGGAAGTAGTATATATTAATAACTAAAGCAGTGCGTTGGTAAATGTGAAAATGGAAGTGTTGTAAATAAAAAAGAATGGAGAAAGTATAAAAGAGAAACTTTACGAAAACATGCAGTTTGTCAGTGTGTCATATAAGCATGCCGTGTCATTGCCATAACTACATCTATCTCATTCAAAGCTTCCCGTCCAATATTCTCCGGTCAACGTAAAGTCTTCTGAATCTTTTACTTTATATATCCAACTTTTATCAAATTTAAGTTTTTGTTTAATGAATTTATAAAACTAATAATGCAGTTTCTGAATATGTATATTTAACTTATTAAAGTCTAATTACAGACAGAGATTAATTAACTTTATGGTCAATCAATCAATATTATTTCAATTCCTTAATTTGAAAATCTCAATATGTATTTTTAATGATTCTCCTATTTTAAGAGGGATTCAAAAGGAAATTGTATTAGTAAATGTAAAATGTCAATTTTGAAAATAAATGAGAAAAACATGTCAACTGGTCTTTAATTATTACCTCTTATGGTTTTGAAAACACTGGCATTTCTATCGCATATTTTTCAATGGAGAGTATTGCTTTTATTGAGTATCTTGTAAGGAAAACTAATTAATCACTTGATATAAAACTCACTTCATTTTTTAAAATAAATATAAAATTCACTTGTTTTTATAAATTCAATTTATTCTTTATATTTATTTATTTTAAATAGAAAGAATTATTATCACTAAAAGCAAAAAGATAGAATATAAATCAAATGGAAAGAAATATGAACAATATATATAGATATATTAAAAACTGAAAAACAAAATATAAAAACAACAAAAAACTGTAAACTAAATTGACATGAACTGAAGGCGAAAAAAAAAAAAGAAACCACAAATGGAAAAATGAAGATAGAATTAATTAATTAATTAATGGGACTTGACTATTATTATTAGGTAGATTTCCCAAAACATGACTAAATGGAGTTTCGAATTCCAAAATAGAACTACTATGTTTTTATTCCCAAAATAGGACTAACATGACAGTATTTACTGTCATCTTATAGTGTGACTGTCAAATAGTTGTAGTACAATGCATTTAACATGATACTCCCTCCGTCCTCCAATAATTGTCACATTTTGCCATTTTTGGATGTCCCCCTATTATTGTCGCATACCATATTTGTTAACATTTGTGTGATTCTAATTCATTTCTTACTTTATTCCCACTTTATCAAATCATTATCAACCACACAATTCTAGTTTTCTTAAAAACCACACCACTATTCCTTCCGTCCCAATAATAGGGGGACGGATGGAGTAATATTTATTATAACTAATGACAATATTTTTCAATCATGACAGTATTTTTCATAGATGGCAGTAACAACTCTTATTTTGGTTGTCTGTGTGTCGCACAAACTTGAAATATAGTATTAGTATATAAATTGAATGGAATATGTGGGAAATACAAAAATATTTCAAAATATACATATTTTCTTGGTAGAATATACAAATTATTTCAAAATACCGAATGAAGGATTTTCAAATTATATTTGATTTTCTAGAACCCACTTAATAAAGCATTCAAAATATGTACTCAAATTCAATATTACAAAATATTCCAAATATACAAATTCTCTCTAAATGGAATGATTATATTCTTTGTAGTTTATTTAGAAATTGATGCTTTACAAATATATGTAAATAATATGAATTTAGGACTTAATTGCAATTAATGACTACTCACTAATTGGACTCAATAACAAATAATTGAAAATTCAATTTCAATTTAGAAGATTGTAATTTATTATTAGTAGATAATTTAAGTAGATGTATTGAACATGTGATGAAAGGTGTTTTTGTACTTAATAGCAATTATATCATTCATCAATTGTACTTAAAAGCAATTAGAGAATTGATAAATTGTCCTCAATAGCAATTACTATAAAGGTTCTACTTTATTTATAAGTAAGTAGATTTTTCCTTTACACAGACAAAAATGTAAAAATGCAGACACATATCGACAAAATTTGTTCATCTGAACAAAAAATGTGTTGCGTGTAAAAAAATTATGGGTATAGACACTTTTTGTCTGTACAGATAATTAATACCAGAGTTAGGTTGTATGTGTATACTACACACAGACAACTGAAGTATGTGTACACGGACATTTGTTTGCTTGTAAATCACATTGACTCGCGTACTTTTTTACACAAATGTTAGGGTGGTTGCATGAGAACCCAATGTCTGTGTACACAGATGTTAGTTGTTAGTTGTGTGTAGACAAAAAAAAAATTGTCTATATAAACCATTTTTGTCTGTGCATGCCTAACCCTGACTTTTTATAACATTTTTTGTCTACAAACTTTTGTTTCGGCGCAACCTAACCCTGACTTTTTATAACATTTTGTTTGTGTATACGGACACTGAGAGAAAATTAGTGTCTGTATACGTACATTTTTTCTATGGCAAATTTTTTAGAACGTACTAATTTTTCAGTTTCATCTTTCAGTGTAGACAATATTTATCATTGTTTTAAAACGATAGAGATAATATTTATACATCATACAAAGAAAAATTCTGGTGGCTCTAATTTTTGATGATTTTCCGATTATTCTCAAACAACACTTTAGTGATGGAAGATGACGGTGAAGATGATTATGGAAGATGACGGTTGAAGATGATGATGGAAGATGACGGTGAAGATGATGATGGAAGATGATCGCAAATAAAGGGCAAACGGAAAGAAAAAGAGAGAGAGAGAGAGAGAGAGAGAGAGAGAGAGAGAGAGAGAGAGAGAGAGAGAGAGAGAGAGAGAGAGAGAGAGAGAGAGAGAGAGATGAGAGAGAGAGGAGGAGAGAGAGAGAGAGTGAGAGGAGAGAGAGAGAGAGAGAGAGAGATGAGAGAGAGAGAGAGAGAGAGAGAGAGAGAGAGAGAGAGAGAGAGAGAGAGAGAGAGAGAGAGAGAGAAAGAGAGAAAGAGAGAAAGAGAGAAAGAAAGAAGAAAGAAAGAAAGAAAGAAAGAAAGACTATTCTCATTAGGACTGAGGAAAAATACCAAAATTTCGGTAGACCACTTTTATCA